AGATAACAAAAAATCACCAAACTCCATACCCCTCAAACTCCCAAAACACCAGAAAGAAGCTTTGAGGGAAAAGACCATGTTTATATTTTTTTACTCTGACACCAGCCATAGTGATTCTCAACATCCCTGTGCCCTGCTTTTCCTGTCTCAGCATCCATTCCCACCTCTTATTTCCTGCAGCACAACTCTAGGAAGGCTTTAAGCATTCCTGTCTTTGCATTCCTCATCATGTCCATGATATATCCTATTTGCTGCATTTCTTGCTTCTCCACTATGTTTTTTTGCTTGATTTGTGGTTGTGAAACCTTACCAGACCAAAACCATGTCAGTCCCAGGACACACACTGATATTTCAGTAAGAGGGGAATTAAAAAAAAAAAAAAGTGACCAAAGAAAGCAGAAAATGGCCTTTGTTTGGAAGTGCTGCCTGGCAGAGCTCCCTCAGGCTGGAAGCAGGTCAGGCTGCTGAGCCTGCTGGGTGACTGACAGGTAACAAGGGGCACCACAAAGCAGCAGCTCCTTTAACTCCTGCTACACCTGAGCGTGTCCTAAGGGAATAAAACCTGAGGAGATTCCCTTCCATGCAGCTCTGCAAGCTGCAAAGCCCAGAGCTTTGGCAGTGCTGGTTTTGTCCCTATAAACTGGGAAAGGCAACATGTGGAACTGGAATTTCTGCCTGTGCCAATTCAGGAACCAGCTGTGTATTGAGGGAAGGAGAGAAAACTAAACCCACAGGCTGGTTCTGATTTGTCTCTGCCTGTGCTGCTAAATCACAGAACTGTGGAATCCTTGTGGCAGGAAAAGACCCCTGAGCTCGCTGAGTTCAGCTGCCAGCCCAGCACAGCCAGGCCACCACGAGCCATGTCCTCAATGCCACAGCCACACGGTTTTTGCACACCTCCTGGCCAGCCTGTGACAGGGCTGCACAAGCCTTTCCATGAAATATCCTTTCCCAACATCCAGCCTGAGCCTCCCTGGCCATTCCCCCTCCTCCTGTCCTGTTCCCTGGGAGCAGAAGGTCCCCCTGAGCCCCTTTCCCCAGGTTGAGCCCTTCTCCCCAGGCTGAGCCCTTTCCCCAGGCTGAGCCCTTTCCCCAGGCTGAGCCCCTTTCCCCAGGCTGAGCCCTTTCCCCAGCCTGAGCCCTTTCCCCAGCCTGAGCCCTTTTCCCAGCCTGAGCCCTTTCCCCAGGCTGAGCCCCTTTCCCCAGGCTGAGCCCTGTCCCCAGCCTGAGCCCTTTTCCCAGGCTGAGCCCTTTCCCCAGGCTGAGCCCTTTCCCCAGGCTGCGCCCTTTCCCCAGCCTGAGCCCTTTTCCCAGGCTGAGCCCTTTCCCCAGGCTGGCCCCTTTCCTGCTGCCTCTCCCCAGAGGTGAGGGGCACAGGCAGAGCAGTGAGGCTGGGATGGGCAGGGGTGCCAGGAGCCCCCAGCTCTGCCCCCTGGGCTAGGGGCAAACACTGAGTGAAGAGCAGGCACGAGTCAGAGGTGGGAGACCCAAACCGTGCACGGAGTCCTCCCAGGGGCAGCACAGACAATAAAGGGCTCCCCTGTTGTGACAAGGCTGTCCTGGGTCAGCCCTGCAGGAACATCCCCAGGTGTTCCCAACAGCTCTGGGATGCACCAGGGCTGACTGACAAACCCCAAATCCACCCTGCCTCCTTCAGAGACAGCTCTGGGATGCACCAGGGCTGGCTGACAAACCCCAAATCCACCCTGCCTCCTTCAGACACAGCTGGGAACAGCTCTGGGATGCACCAGGACTGGCTTACAAACCCCAAATCCATCCTGCCTCCTTCAGAGACAGCTCTGGGATGCACCAGGGCTGGCTGACAAACCCCAAATCCATTCTACTTCCTTCAGTGACAGCTGGGAACATGGAGAGCTCAGGCAGGGAAAAGTTGGGGTCTACCAGCACAGCAAGTTTTTAGTTAGTCATTAGTAGCCACAGTAGAAATCCCAAAAGCATTTTGATTGGTGAGAAAGGGCTTTTAACCACTGCAGGCATTATCTGGGATACAACAGATAAATCTTGACCACTGAGTGTTTTCCAGTTGTGCTGTACTGCACAGCAAGGAAATAAATTTTCCATTGTAGCATAACCAAGTGTCACAAACCCAACACAAGGATACCCCGAGCCCAGCACTGAGAGGGGACTTTCTGCGGCTTAAAGTGACCTTTTAAAGAGTCCCTGTTGGCACTTGACCTTGTCAAGGTTGAATGTCCACAGCAGCAGTGCCACAGCTCCAGCCCCAGCATCTCTGCTGGGTTTAAGGGCAGCCAAGGCTCCACAGCCTGCTGCTGGCTGTGTGTTTGAGGAAACATTTATCCTCCAGACATTCTCCCAAGCCTTTCCCAGCTGCCTCTGCTCCACAGATGAAATCCACGGAGCCCTCATCTCGATTCCACAGCAGCAGTGAATAACAAATCCCTGATCACGTGTGCCTGGAGAGAGCTGCGGGTCTGCACGGGAGAGAAGAGACTTTCAGAAATCTGCCCCTGTGCCATTCTCCACGAGAGTCATTTCTACAGAACTCTGTTCAGCCTGAGACCTTGGGGGTTTATTTGGGCACGGCACGTTTGGCTGTAGCTGTGAGGGGAACTCAGGAATTCGTTTTCCAGGTGAAATGATTGCTAGAAATGCATTAGCATTTTGCTCCACAGCAGCCAACACTCAATCCTCTCTGGGAGAAGGAAGCTCTTTTCTCTGCATGCAGGTACCTGCTCCTGGCCCACTGTGGGCAAATAAAAACAGGATCCCCTGAGTGATTTCATTTGGATTTCTAAAGTATTGGCTAATATTTGTCTGCTTTTACCATGAAATATATTCATACAAATGTTGTTATGTGTCTTAAGATTGTGCAGTGCTGTTAGAATCTCACTCCCAGAGTGGTTGGGTGGGGTCAAATCCTACATCCCAGTCAACTAGCATGTGTAAAATTTGTTTGCTTTTTAAATTATTTATCCATTTAAGCCTCTGTTCCTGATCATACATGAAGAGCTGCAGCACAGAAGGTGACAAGCTGAGAACACATGTTTTAAGGGAAAATGTTAAAGATCATTATTTAAAGGCCTTCACTTGCTAACATTTGTTTGCTGGTGCTACTTGGAATTCAAGCCATCTGCAATAAAAAGTAATATTTGAGAGATGCATTTTAAGGAAAAAAACCCAAAGTTTTACTCTTCATGTAAACTGACAGTGCACTGGGAAACTTGGTGAAACTTCACCACGTGGGAGGTGTTGACAACTGAGCATATACCAAGGGAAGGATTTACAGGCACACAGTTCCACAAATACATCCCAGACTGGTATTTGTCAAGACAACCCATGAGCCTTCAGCACATGCTTTAAAGCCTGTCCAAGTGGGGTGTTATTTTCTCCATCAGGGCCCTGGTGACAAATGCACTTTCCTGTGGCCTCGTACTGGTCCCAATGTCCTCTTAATCACCCCACAAGCACTAAAATTCCTTCCAGTCTGGTATTTGCAGGTGAGGAACAAGGGGTTATGGGTCAGGAAGCTGCCAAGAGCCAACACGAACCAGGCAGAAATTCCACTGCAAAGTAAAGTAATCTGCCCTGAGAAACTTTCAGTTCTGAGCATACACTGAGCACCCAGCAAGCCCTTACAGAGAGAGGAGCCCAGGTGCAGAGGGGTGGCAGGTTAAGGATGCTGCATGTCAGCTGAGAGCCCAGGCTGACAGCTGGGAGTCTTTTTTTTTGCCAGGAAATTATTATTTTGTGCTACACACATTCCTCTGGCTGTATCACAATGTGTGAAATAACAGGCAAAAGTCAACGGGACTCCAATGTGTTTTCTAATCTCTGTCTCCATTTTTAGCAGTGTCAGTAGAGGCATCCCGTGAACTGAAAGGAAAACGACTCTGGATGAGATAAAACACATTTAAAATGACTGAGGGAGCAAGCAGCTGGGAAAGAAAAATGAAATAGCTTTCTCTTTTTTTTAGGTTAAATAGCACAGAATAGAATCAAAAGCCCAGACTGGTTTGGGTTGTCAGGGACCTTAAAGCTCATCCCATTCCAGCCCTACCATGGACAGGGACAGCAATGTCACACTGTGTGACAGCCCCTCCAGCCGGGCCCTGGCACTGCCAGGGATGGCACTGCTTTGCTGTGAGGACGGGACTGCCATGGGAAGCAGTTCTGAGACAGGGAGTGCAGCACACAGGAAATGCCCAGATCGGTTCCTCGGCGAGCGCAGGCTCGGGTTATCTGTCACAGCGATTCTCCAGGGCGTGTATCACCCAAACACCAGCACTACAGCTGCACAGGAGGCTCAGCAGCAATCTGAGCCTGGCGTTCCAACTGCATCACACACGACAGAGACTCCATAAAATCCGGGGGACAGAGGGAGCAGGAAGGTGCAGCTGGTGCCAGGCAGAGCCATCCCCTTCCTGGCACCGAGGGCAAAGCCTTGCCCATCACAGCCATGGCTGAGGCAGAGTGGGACAACCTCAGACACAGAACGGCAAACAGCACACCTGAAAATGGAGCCCACAAAGCCTTTAGATGGCTCGTGTGCAGCAAATCTGTCTGTCTGTCTGTCACACTTCGTACGTGTCCATATTTACAGACACATTACACAGGTAAGCACTGATTAATACGCACAGGCAGGCACTAATTTAGGAGCATAGTCAGGCAGTCATTAGCGAGCACAGGTAGATGCTAATTAAGGAGCACAGGTAGGCAGAAACCTCGGTCCCTCATGCTGCACACCGAGGGAGTCCCTGCCTGCAGTGCACTCCAGATAAAACCTGTAGGCTGCTCGAGCAGACACATTTAAGGAGATTTTTACCATTCACACTGCAAAAGGCTAAAAAAAAATCCATCCCTGCTGCAGATGGTTCTATTTTCCCTCTCTGTCCTCTAAACAGTGGGATCAGATGAGGAGTGATGCATCGATTGGTCCAGGGAAGCACCGAGAGGACAGAGAAGGAAAATAAACCAAAAATCACTAAAAATCCCCCAAGCGCAGAGTAAAATGTGCTCACCACGTAGCCCGAGCGCGGATCCGAGCGGTCGGAGGGGCTAAGGACAGGTTTCCCCGGCAGGCTGCGGGATGAGCTCAGCGCCGGCAGGCTCAGCCATTGCGGAGTCACTGCAGCTCCGGCAGCACGTCAGCAGCTGCTGCTCCAGAGCCCTCCCATCCTGCCATCCCTGCCATCCCTGCCTTCCCGAGCCCAGCCCGCTCCTGCTCCAGAGCCCTCCCATCCTGCCATCCCTCAGATCCCGGGATCAGCCCGCTCCTGCTCCAGAGCCCTCCCATCCCTCAGATCCCGAGCCCAGCCCGCTCCTGCTCCAGAGCCCTCCCATCCCTCAGATCCCGAGCCCAGCCCGCTCCTGCTCCAGAGCCGCCCAGCTCTCCCAGCCTGGCTCCAGAGCAGAGGACTCTGGCCTCACTCCTGCAGGTCCATGTTCCATGGAAGCCCACGCCTGTGGGAGTGCAGGGCGGGCATTGGGGTGCACCCCTTACAGGAAGGGCATTCCTGGGTGCCAGCGTGCCTGCAGTGACCTGGGAGTGCTGGGAGGGTGGGAAAAGGCAGGCGTTGTTCAAGGCCCTGTCAGGTTTGATCTCAGGACTAAAACACACGGATATAAAGCAGGTCTGTAACCCCCAGTGTGCTGTATCCCACTGCTCCTCACACCTGAGGAAATATTCAATCCATTGTCAATATTGACTTGCCCACTGAAAATTCCCCTTTCCATCAGAAACCAATCACAAATATGGATAAAATAAATGCATTGGGGTACAAGATACTTCTAACAGCCCCAGACCACCACATTCTCTACAAGCAAATAGGATATAGGGCATATTTGTTTGAGTTTGTGTTTTCCTGACATGAGAAATAGTGAAGACTGGGAAGAAGAGTGGGAACTGTGCCCAGCGTGTGTCCATGAACTGCTGACAGGAATGACAGAGTGATCTGAGTGCAGGGCTGGGAAGCAGAAACCTACCCTGGAACACAGTTTCAGTTTTAGAGAGGAGGGTCTGAGGTTTTTTTCCCCCAAAACAACAGCTAAGTATCTGGAACTTTGCATAGAAAATCTTCATTTTCCCTCCATCCAAAGCTCATAACTGTGCAGGACAAGAACCACGTGACTGCTAACCAGATTCCCTAGAAACTTGTTTGCATTTTTGTGGATGCCAACACTGTGTTTCCCCTGCCTGCTCCCTGCTCAGTGGTTCAATTTTCTTTTGCCACAGGGACATGTAGTGGCACTTGGAGAGAACAGGACTGGCTGTGGCTCTGAGAGCTGTGACAACAACGGCTCGGGGACAAATGAAACTGGCTTCTATTTTTAGAGCTGAATTGCAACACTTTGTGGGAGTTTGTAAGCAAAACAAGTCACGTCCAGGCAGTGTTGTAAGTGACCTACACAAGAGCCCAGCAGTGGTTTGCATCACTCAGAGAATGGGGGTTTGTTTTTCTGCTGGCAAGAGCTCAGGAGAAGCATTCCTCTGGCAACTTCCACGGGCTGAGCTGACAAAAATGGGAATGGACTTTAGAAACCTGAAGTTAGGAAGTAAAGAAGAGCTGAAGGGATTTTCATGCTCTGCTTTTCTGATTCACACTGGAAGTGGTCAGAGTTTCTTCCATGGTAAGACAGAAGCAAACCAGCAGCACTGGGGTTGGTTTAAGCCTGGCTTGTGCCCTGTCCCACTGTGCCAGCTGGTTCTGAGCTCCCTGTGACACCGAGCTCAGGTCAGCAGGATCACTGCCCCTGTGCAGCCACCACAGAACGGCACAAAGCGTGTGGGGACTGCTGAGGAACGTGACAGACATGGCCCAGGACACGGCACAGCCCTGCCGCGGCAGCAGCCGCACCACACACGGCTTTATTAACTATTTATTATCTTTCTATTAACTGTCTATTAATTGAGCACAGTCAGAATCAGCAAGTCTCGCAGGGGTTTGGGCTGCAAGGACCTTAAGGCTCCTCGTGCTCCACCCGCCGTGGGCAGGGACACCTTGCTGTGTCCCTGGCTGAGAGCAGCGGCCGCAGCGCGGGAAGGACGCGGAGCAGCTGGGTGGGTAATGATGAACCTGGCTGCAAGAAACGCTCAGCGTGAAATACACACACGGTTCCACTTCCAGAGGCAGCCAGCGAGGTTAATGACCAGCCCCTGGGTGGGAGGCAGGCAGTGCTCAGATTTCATGGGGTTTGAGCCCGTGTCTGCACAGTCACGGAATCACAGAATCATTTCCCCGGCTGTCCCCTCCTGGCAGGAGCAGTAGGCACATTTTCCCAAATCACTCCTGAAATTCTCACTGTCTCGCATTGTACCACTAGGAAGTGGGTGGATTACTTTGATTTTTATTAGTAAGAAACCAAAGAAATGTCAGTTAACATGATCAATTTCTAAACTAATGCAAGTTTATCACGGGTTTGGGATTATAAACAACTTCTGTGCAATGCCTGAAATACCTGTCCCTTACAGCTGGGCTGAGCCCTCATGTCAGGCCCAACCCAGAGGCAGAAAACCAAACACAAAGTTGAAGCTGTCTGAGCAGCAAGTGTGACTCCATACCCAAATCAATGCCTTTGTTATTCTGTGGAGATGGTCACTGCTTCTGGCTTAAAGGGAATTAATCAATACATGATTGGCTTGTGACATGCAAGTAAATAAGATTAGAGCGAGTCCCAGCTGTGCAGAGGACAGCAGTGCAACAAATCAATAACCTTTCAAAGACTTTATCCAACAACAGGAAAATTCACAATTTTTCCTGATGACACCGCAGTGTGTTTCTGCCAATAACCCAAAAGTTTCTGCCATCAAATTATACATGGAAATAAAATCATTCACCCAATGACTGATGAAAGAGTAGCTGTGGCTGCCCCTGGATCCCGGGCAGTGCCCAAGGCCAGGCTGGACACTGGGGCTGGAGCACCTGGGACAGGGGAAGGTGTCCCTGCCATGGCAGGGGTGGCACTGGGTGAGATTTGAGGTCCCTCCAACCCAAACTCTTCTGGGGCTGTGTGATTCCACGATCCCCACGTCCCTCCTGAGGCAGGCAGCCATGGCTGCGTGCCCGCAGGGCTGAGCCCCTGTTCCTCACAGCCGAGGCAGTGCTGGCTGCAGGAGAGGAGCAGGTTCTGGGAGGCAAAACTTGGTGTGCATCCCATCCCTCACAGCCGAGGCAGTGCTGCCTGCAGGAGAGGAGCAGCTCCTGGAGGCAGAACCTGCCGTAGCCCCGAGTATTACAAATCAAAGGTGACCCGATGAAGGGGAGAGAATGATGCATCTGACTCCATCACCAGAAGGCTAAAGAATGACTTTGTTATTCTATACTATATACACTGCATCTAAAGTGAACCTGCCTTGCACTCACCCTTGCTCTGACCGTCCCGTGAGTGTCTGCAGACAGCCCCGACACACACACACACCCCAGCCCTGACAGGCCAAGGGAACAAAACACTTCACGTCGGGTGAACGATCTCAACCTCGCCTTCTACTTCAGCACAGCAAGCGAGACAGGAGTTATGTTTTTCCTTCTTCTCTCACAGCTTCTCTCTGTTCAGAGGGCATGTGAATGCCACACCCGTGCCCCGTTCCGTACCGTGCCGTGCCATGCCCGTTCCCTGCCGTGCCCCGAGCCGTGCCCCGTTCCGTACCGTGCCGTTCCGTGCCGTGCCGAGCCGAGCCGTGCCGTGCCCGGCAGGCAGGCGGGCGGGCTGCCGGCAGCAGGGAGCAGCAGAGCGCCGCGGCAGCAGCGGGAGCGCAGCCCCGGGGCCGGCTGGCTCCTGCCGCGCACAGCCCCTCGCTGGCTCCACCGCCCCGGACCCATCGGCTGCGCGGTGACACGGCCGCATCCTCACAGCCTGGCCTCTCCTTCGGGGAAGGCTACAAAGCGATGTTCCTCACGGACAATTTACTGACGGGTTCCACTTGGGCTTCGTGACTCGGCTGCCGAAAGGCACAAGTGAAAACAATTCCAGACAAGGTTAAAAATAGCCTGCGTGCTTTAAGTGAGTTAATACTTTGGCTAAATAAAATCAGGTTTGTCTTTACGAAGTCCCAGCAGTAAATCGGTATCTGCTTTCGAACAACAACACGAGTTAAGTGGAGAGCCCTGATGGCATCGCGTCAATTAAAGCCCAAAAAGGAGAGGATTTATTTATTATCTATGTCATTATTTATTAATTTTCTTGGGGCTGTTCTGACAGGGCTAAGAGCCGGGCTCGATGATGCCTGCGGTCCCTTCCACCTCAGCCCTCCTGTGACTATTGCCTGTTTTAAGGCCGTGTATGGTTCGCTGTCGGGGCTGGCTTAGCGGCCGCGAGCTGCGAGTTTGCAAGAGGATGTGTCTGCTGCGAAACCCCCTCCATGTATCCTCTGAAATCCCTCCGTGTGTCCTCTGAAATCCCTCCGTGTCTGCTGTGAAACCCCTCCGTGTATCCCCTGAGACCCCCTCGGGCCGAAAGGCACAAGTGAAAACAATTCCAGACAAGGTTAAAAATAGCCTGCGTGCTTTAAGTGAGTTAATACTTTGGCTAAATAAAATCAGGTTTGTCTTTACGAAGTCCCAGCAGTAAATCGGTATCTGCTTTCGAACAACAACACGAGTTAAGTGGAGAGCCCTGATGGCATCGCGTCAATTAAAGCCCAAAAAGGAGAGGATTTATTTATTATCTATGTCATTATTTATTAATTTTCTTGGGGCTGTTCTGACAGGGCTAAGAGCCGGGCTCGATGATGCCTGCGGTCCCTTCCACCTCAGCCCTCCTGTGACTATTGCCTGTTTTAAGGCCGTGTATGGGTCGCTGTCGGGGCTGGCTTAGCGGCCGTGAGCTGCGAGTTTGCAAGAGGATGTGTCTGCTGCGAAACCCCCTCCGTGTATCCTCTGAAATCCCTCCGTGTGTCCTCTGAAATCCCTCCGTGTCTGCTGTGAAACCTCTCCGTGTCTGCTGTGAAACCTCTCCGTGTATCCCCTGAGAGCCTCTCGGTGTATCCTCTGAAACACCCCCGTGTATCCTCCGAAACCCCCCGTGTCCGCGTTCGAGCGCTCAGCGGGCAGCGAGTGGGGGTCCTGAGGGCTGTCCTGAGGGATATCCTGAGGGATGCTATCCCGCAGGAACCCTTCCCGCTCTCCCGGCTCCCCGCCATCATGGCGGCCCGGCGGGCGCTGAGGGAGCACGAGCCCCCGCCCGGGGGCTGAGGGCCGGGAGCGGCGCTGCCCGGGGCTGCGGGCCGAGAACTGCACCGCCCGGGGGCTGCGGGCCCCTTCTGTGTGGCGATCTTGGCGGATTGCGGGGGCAGGGTGCGTGGCCATCGCCCCGTGTCCCCGGGAAGAGCCCGTGGATGTGCCTGTGAGCGGGGCTCGGGTGTTGGATAGCGGCGGATGGGCCGGGGAAGGGAAAGTGCCAGAAAAATGCCAGAAAAATGCCAGCGCAGCACACACAGCGGCTGGCTCGGGGTTAGCGCTTTCAGGGGCCGTCCTCATGGCCCTGTGCAATTCTGCTATTGATTGCCAGCGCTGGAAGCTGTATCTTGGGAAAAGGAGGCTTGCCAGCGCTGCTCGGTGCTCGTACGTGTGTCCCGGGCGGGGCTATCGCGACAGACCCGCTGTCCCCAGGCCATCCCCGCCACTCGCTTCGCCCTCTTGCTGTTTGCAGCTTCACAAAAACACAGCTGCTTTTATCTTTAAGTGATGATATCACAGCCTGTTCCACGTGCCCCAGCACAGCCCTTCTCTGAGGAGTGTCCAAAAGGAGAAGGAAAAAAGGGAAAATTGCAAACCACGCCTTCTGTCCCCTTGCTGCTGCAATCCCAGTCCTCTCCCTGCTCTATCCTGCATTCCCAGCACTGTGCCCAGTAAGATTTCAGCTGACAAAGTCTTAATTTGAGCTTCAGTGGTTGTGACTGTTCTTTGGTAACAACTCGAGCTTCCCAGATTTCGGGGAAAGGGCAGGCAAGGGTTTGTCTGGCTCTGAACACACTCCCTGCCACATACCAGGCACTGTCACGTGGAGGGGAAAATTCCCAACAAACCCAAACAACAACAAACCAGCTGTACAGGAAAAGGCTTTTGGAAGAGCAGCATCTCTTCCCAGCTCGGTGGCCTGGAATGTTTGTATCCAGCAGGTTTCGTGGTGCTTTGGCTGTCCAGATGGAGGTCTCTGTGTTTGGGATGGAGATTCTCCTGGTGTTCATGCACATGGGGCAGTCTGGCTTTGTGCTGTTCCCACTTGGTTTTGGAGCCCTGTCTCCTCCCAGCCAGGATATTTGGGATGTCTCTGCTTCCTGCTAAAGCCCTGCACTGCCTTCTCCCCAGCTGCATTCCTGGATGGCTGGGAAGGGGCCCTGCAGCTCCAGCTGTTCCTGCTGTGCCTTTGCTCCTGAGCACCACCGCCCCTGTCTGTCCTTTCCCTGCTGATTGCCTAGACATCCTTGCCCAGAATCCAGGGAATTCTGCTGCCCTCCTGCTCCTGTCCTCGCTGGGCACTGCTGGGGCTGGGCCACATCTGCTCCACAGTGGGGTTCCTCTGGCATTTGTGTGACTCGGGTGTTTTCTGTTCCCTGAGATCATTTCTGGGGGGCTGGAGGGACAGGATGTCCCACTGCCAGGGGCAGGGCTGGATGGGATATTGGGAATTGGGAATTGTTCCTGGCAGGGTGGGCAGCCCTGGCACAGGGTGCCCAGAGCAGCTGGGGCTGCCCCTGGATCCCTGGCAGTGCCCAAGGCCAGGCTGGACACTGGGGCTGGAGCACCTGGGACAGGGGAAGGTGTCCCTGCCATGGCAGGGGTGGGATGGGTGGGGTTTGGGGTCCCTCTCACCCAAAGCATTCCAGGATTCTGTAGGGAGGAACAGCTCCGGGCCCTGCAGGAGTTGTTATTCCCTCCCTTAGGAAAACAAAGCCCATGTGACCGTGTTAAATATACTGCTAGGAGCAAACCCATGACAGCCCTTGCCACACACCCGCAGTTGCTTAACAGCAGCACCTACAAATGGCACTGGGAAAAGGCTGCACTGAACAGTCCCCGGGTCTGGAGCCCAAAATAATCACAATAAACAAATAACTGAACCTTGGCAGTAAAAGTCCTTGAGATTATTTTGACTGCCACCTATGTTGAACAATAAAAATTGAATGTATCCCAAAATAAAAGATCTGTATATGCAGAAAGAAACACAATGTACTGCTGAGCAGCTGCTTCCCAGCCCTGTGAGCCTTCCCAGCCGAGGTGCCTGCCCTTGGCATGCCGTGGTGGCTGTGAGCTGGGAGCAGGGCTGTCCCTGCAGTGTCCCCGCGGGCTGGCTTGCCTCAGGCTGTGGCTCAGCTCTGCTCTGTGCCCGCAGGCTCCTGGGTGGAGCTGCACTTCAGCAGCAGCGGCAGCAATGGCAGCTCTGTGTCCGGGGGCAGCCAGGAGCAGGTGCCAGCCTCGCTGTCCATCCACAACGGGGACATGGAGAAGATCCTGCTGGACGCCCAGCACGAGTCGGGCAGGAGCAGCTCCAGGGAGAGCTCCCACTGTGACAGGTGAGCAGGGGCACTGCCAGCGTCACCGCGGGCTCCCAGGGGTGGACAGAGGCAGACACAGGTGCTGCATGAGCGTGTTTACATGCATGTGCCTGTTTGTATGAACACACGTGTGCATAGGCTGTGTGTTTATGTGTGTTTCCACGTGAACACACAAACCAGAGCAGATGTCCATGGAGAAGATCCTGCTGGACGCCCAGCACGAGTCGGGCAGGAGCAGCTCCAGGGAGAGCTCCCACTGTGACAGGTGAGCAGGGGCACTGCCAACGTCACCGCGGGCTCCCAGGGGTGGACAGAGGCAGACACAGGTGCTGCATGAGTGTATGTACATGCATGTGCCTGTTTGTATGAACAAACACACATGTGCATAAGCTGTGTGTTTCCATATGATCTTAGAAACCAGAGCAGATGTGCAGGGGTGCCACCCAACAGCTCAGCCCTGGGGCAGTGCTCAGGCAGTGCCATTAATGCCTTTGCTGGGTTGTGATGGGCTCTGAGGCCTCCAGCCCAGACTGTGTTTGGAAAAGCCCAAAGTCCAGGACTCAAACTCCACAGTGGGACCAGCCTGGCTGCTGGGGATGCAAAGCAAACCCCGCTGGCACTCCTCGTGTGCTGCCCGTTGTTTCTGTGCCAGCCAGGGCCCCCAGCATGGGCTGGGGATCAGAGCAGGGGCTGGGGTGGCTGGGCTGTGGCAGCACTGCCCCGTGCAGCTCTGGGGCACTCCTGGGCAGAGTGCCCAGCTCCCAGGGTGCCACAGAACTCCTCACCTCCTCCTTCTGTCCTGGTGCAGCCCTCCTCGCTCGCAGACCCCCCAGGACAGCCACAGAGCTCTGGAGATAGAGAGCCACAGCAGCGGGGAGAAGAACAGCTTCCAGGTAAGGTCCTCACCGTGCTGGGCAGGGCAGCTCTGGCTCTGTGCTTGGGCAGGAGCAGCAGAGGCTGCTGCAGCAGAGACTTCCCCAGCTCACAGCAGCCCTGGCACATCCAGGCTGCCTGTGCTTGTTCCTGACACGTGGGGATGTCTTGGTTTGGCCTTTCCAGTCTGTGCCTGAGATTTTTCAGAAGGATTTGCCCTCTCCCTTTGGCTGCTGATGGAGTGCATTTCCTGCATCCCCCACCAATGTTGAAATGCACCTCTACCAATTCCGTAGGAATTTTAAAAGATATTTTGATGGCAGCAAGAATTTCTAGAGTCATTTAAATATGGCAGCCAAAAATACACAACTCCCAAGCCATGCCATAGCTTTGATTCCAGGTATTTCAACAATTTATACAAACCTGAATACGTGCTGCTTTGGCAAACTCCCTGTTCTTTCTGATTTCACTTTGTAGGTTTGTTTACCTTGCAAGGAAAATGAATAAACACATTTGCATCAAGAGGGGGGGAAAGGATGTACATTGACCATATTTAATCAATACAGGGCTTATTGCAGGATGACAGGCTGAAATCTGAAGTCTTCAGTTAATAAATTAGCTTTTAATATGAAAAAAAAATGACTCACAAAGCATTTTTAGGAAGGAAGTATTTCAAGGAAGTGAGTTTTTCTGCATCATTTCTACAGCTCCTGCCAGACTCTGAGGACCCAGCTTTAGGTTAGCTAAATGTGGTACTGCAAGTTAATTATTACTGGAAATTATTCTTTTACATTGTCAGAAACACCCTTCAGCTGTTTAAAGATCATTATTTAGACTTTGAGAACAAATAAGCCCAAGTTAGAAAGCCATCAGCATTCCAGCTGCCTGGACAGTTTTATTTCCATCCCATGTGTGTGTGTGCATCAAGAGCTGTTGGAATTCTGGGAGCAGGATCTATTTTTATCCCAAGGCCTGGGCTGTGTGGAATGGAGCCGAGCTGAGCCAGGAGCTCTGCCCTGACTCAGCGTTTGTGCTGCAGCTGCACCAGAGCTGGGGCTGGGGGCTTGGTCTGGGAGCACACACCTGGCCAGGCTCACCTGCAGGGGCTGCACAGGGACTGCCAGTGACACCTGCCAGCTCGGAGCATGGCCAGGAGTCCCTGTGCCCAGTGTCCATCAGGGCTGGGAGATGGGACAATTTTGGGACTGTGCATAAGGATGAAAGCTGGGCTCTGGGATTTCACTGCAGGGCAGTGTTGTCTCGGGCACATATGGGATATGGGATATGGGATATGGTCTTTGCCATTCTCACCCCACTCTGAGGATGGCTCTCCCTGCTCCCTCTCTTGGTCTGGGATGTGAACTCTTCCCGGGGGTGGAAGGGGGTGTCCGGGCCGGCCTGGCAGTGCTCCTGGCTCTCAGGAGCTCTGGCAGCTGCAGCTGTCCTGCTCAGGGCTGGTGGCTCTCGCTTGCAGTCTGAGGAGGATTTCCTGGAGAGGAGGAGGGAGGTGGAGCGGCTGCTGAGGAAGAACGCGGATTGGATCTGGGACTGGTCCAGCCGGCCCGAGAACATCCCGCCCAAGTGAGTGCTGCCACCGCTGCTGGGAGAGCTCCTGCAGCTTCCCTGGCTGCACACACGCCTCACCTTCCTTCCCCACATCCAGGGAATTCCTCTTCAAGCACCCCCGGCGCACAGCCACGCTCAGCATGAGGAACACCAGTGTCATGAAGAAAGGGGGGATATTCTCTGCAGAATTCCTGAAGGTTTTCCTCCCATCCCTGCTGCTCTCTCACCTGCTGGCCATTGGACTGGGGTAAGGTTCAATTGAAAACAAAAAAAAAAGAAGACATTTTTTAACCTGCTTTTTTGAGGCCTGATTCTGATTCCCAATTTCCTCTTTGTCCAAGATGGTTATTTAGGAAGTGCTTCCTGCCGCTGGTATTGCCGGATGGTTTAAGTTTTCTGATTTTCTCCCTGGTTGGGAACTTCTCAGAACAATTAAGAGGCAGGGAAATGAGGAATTCTGTACACTGGAACTGTAGTCACACAGCACTTGTCTCTACTGGAGATGAGACTCTATCTCACAACCAGGAGATCAGCAAAGCAAAAAGCTAATATTGAAATTTTGAAGTTCCACTGACACTGATTTAAAAATATTTAATATTATTTTAAATTACTCCGTAAAGTTTTTTATTTCTTCCTGGGAGGAATAGGGGCTGTTTCCTTCCCACAGGGGCGTGGGGGCAGGCGCTGGGCCCTGGGGCTGGGAGGGGTACCAGGCCAGGGGCAGTCTCTGGGGCAGCTCTGCTCCTGCCTGGTACAGCTGGCAGGGCTGCTCCTGCCGGGAATTCCAGGGCAGGGGCCTGGCAGGGGGAGCACTGCCAGCACTGAAGCAGCCTGGCTGAGCGTGTGTGACCCTGCAGGATTTACATCGGGAGGCGCCTGACCACCACGGCTTCCAGCAGCACCTTTTAGAGGCACCGGGTCTGGAGCTGGAGCAAAGCAGCCGCAGCTGGAGCGCAGGAGGTGCACAGGAGGGGGAGCTGGTCGTGGCCGTCGTGTGTGTGTCCTGTCCTGTCCTGTTCTAGTTTAGTCTAAACATGGGAAGGGAGACGCTGGAGCTCCCGTGTCACATAGAGCCTTCTGGATCAATCCCTGCTGGATCAACCCCATGAGCACGTGGCAGATGCTGTAATGTCCCTTAGTGCTTTGTAGTGAAGTACCTGAGAATTAGAGCAGCTCCGTGTTTAAATCAGTGCCAGCTTTCAGCAGCCCGTGTGCTGGGCCGTGTCCATCCGCCCGCTCCTGTGCCTGTGGAAGGAGGGAATGTTGTCCCTGCTGCTGCAGCCCCCACGGGCAGGGATGAGCCCAGACTGCGAGTGGCCTTACAGATCGATCCGGGAATCCCGGGGCTCTCACTGCCCCGGGCAGCTTTTCCTCTGGTACGTGTTGCTTGGTTCACTTCGGTGGGAGGTGTAAGGTGTTGAGACACAGTGGGAAGAGATGAGCACGTGGGTGAAACTCCATCAGTTTGTCCTAGTTCAGAGGTAGAATTTGGATTTAGTGCCTACTAAAAGCTGCTTTTGCCAGGACATTCATTTAACCCCAGCAGTTACTCCAGGTTCTCTGCTGTACCTACCGCAGGCTGTCGCTTACAGGCTTTTCCTGTCCCACGTAAATCTGCACCTGACCCCAGCCCTGGGCAGATGAACCCCGGGGTGGCTTCTCCTTGGTTTTTACTGATGCAATGCATTTCCCTTCAGTGATTTTACCTTATTTAATGAGAAAATGAATGTTTGCCAAAATACTATGTTTTATATATTTAAATAAAAAGGTTCCTGGTGAACTGAGAGTTTCCTCATTCTTTTTTCTCTGGGGACGGATGAGGCTCTTGGCCTCTGCCTGTCCCTTTCCCACTGGTCACTTCCTGACGTGGAATTGAGAAGTTTCCATGGAAACAGCATCAAGCAAACCCCAGCAGGGTAACCTGCACTCACTGCACACACGCAGGCGCTCCTGAGGAGCTGGAAAGCATGGAATTGTTGAGGCTGGAAAAGCCCTGTGAGCCCATGGAGTCCAACCATTCCCAGCAGTGCCCAGGGCACCACTGCCCATATCCCCAAGTGCCACATCCACAGGGCTGGGAAATCCCCCCAGGGATGGGCACTCCAGCAGTGCCAGGGCTGGGCAGCCCTTTCCAGGGAAGAAATTTTCCTACCCCTCAATCCAAACCTCTCCCGAGGCTGGAGCCAAGAGCAAAGGTGGGATTGGAACCCCCGAATGTGCCCCGAATGCTGCTTCCATTCCCTGTGGGATGAGAGCAGCAGGTCCCTGCTGAGCGTTGGGCTTTGGCTGGGGAGGGAAGGGGTTAAACCACGGTGTCCCTTTTTCACTGCCATTGTCCCCCACCCTGGGGCAGCGCTGGCTCTGCCAGTGAGGTGCTGCAGTGCTCCATGCTCACCCACTCCTCACTGCTGGGGCCTTCAATCCCCGTTCTTGGCATGACCACCGAAAGCCCACCCTGCTCTGCCCAGCAGTCCCCCCTGCCATGGGGAGCACAGCCTTTCACTAGCCCGGGCTGCTCCACCAGGCAGCGCTTTTACCAGACTTGACACTAAAATCTGGTTTTAGATAAAAGGATAGCAATTCCATGAGAATAGTCAAAAGCTGATTGAAAGTGGTACAAGCAAACAGGGCTGTAGAAGAGGAAATCCCCCCATATCCTTTTCATGGATATTCCACTTGTATTTGCTGAAAAAACACATCCACAACCGGCCAGTGCCGCCGTGTCCTGGAGCAGGGGCAGCAGCCCTGGCCACTCCAACCATCCCAACTGCAAACAGCCCCTGGGCTGGCCCATCCAGCCAATTCCCTCCCACACAGAAGGAAATGTTGCAAAACACAAGGAGCACGGCCAGGTAAACATTTAAAATTTATTAAACTTTTTGGTCAAAAGAACTGAACAATTATGTACAACCCCACGGATCGGCTCGAGCAGGCGTTGGGAACGCGGTCAGATCAACGCTTCAGGGACCCCCCAGTTCCACATCTCCAGAGTTCCAAAGTGTCACAACCCACGTACAGGACAGGAGTGGCTGGACTGAGCCTTTCCTGGGAGAACCTCAGGCTTTGTCCTTCCCCCCTTCCTGGGACCCAGCGGCTCGGGGGCGGTACCGGGAGGGGCGGGACGGCCACGGTTTGCTCTTGGGACTGGAACCCGCCTTTGTTCCAGGAAAACGGAGTGTAACCACTTGGGGCTGGCTGGGGGAAAGCTTGGGGCTCTGGGAAGGAGTTCCCAGGCTGCAGGCACCTGGCAGAGTGCAGCCTCCGGCTGCTGGGGGCTGCTGGACGTGGCCCCGGGCTCATCCGGGGGAAGGGCATGTCATTTAGGCCTCTTTGGAAGAAAAAAAACAAAGAAAGAAACAGTACCTAAGGCTTAAAACAAGTGAGCAAGAGAGCTCCAGCAGCTGCTGTCCCGCCAGCCGGGGCTTGGCGTGGCCTCCCTGGGCAGCCCAGCCCGGAGTGGCTCTGGAACTGCAGTGGGAAATGCAAGATTCTACGCCAAATACTTAAAATAAACTGTTCCCTTTGTGACAAATACTAAAAAGGTTAAAAACCATAATGCACGTCAGGTCTGTCTCTGCCTGAGGGTGAGGTGCACCGGGAGGCTGCATGCTTATCCTCAGAGCAGAGAAGGTGTTGATGTTTTGGTTCCCTCCGTGCAAGGCCGACACTTGGTTAAGGCTGTGGATGTTTCTAGGACCCTTTCCATCTCCTACTTGGCACACACAGAGCCTTTGACAACAAATCCAGTGCAACTCCAACTCTATGACAATGCCATGGAAACTCTAAATTCAGAATCTGAAATACTACACAAAAAAGTTCGTATTAGTCTGCCAAAAACTCGGTGTTTTGGGGCAAACCCTGTCAGAGGTGCCACCAGAACTGTTCTGCACCAGCTCAGGACATGCAATACAAAAAGAAGACTGAATACATCCCTCCAGCTCTAAGAACACGTTTGATAGGCTGTTATTTATTAAGTGGTTTCCACCAGAAGGTGTGGTTATAGGTACAGTTGGTGAGTAAATAGCCATGGACACCTGCCTAGACCCCAGCTCAAGCCCTGCTCCAAGGTCAGGCCCTGGCCTGAGGAGGAATGGACAGGCATCAAGCACGAGAAATGTTCTGAAAGGCCCAAATATTACAGCAGAGAGAGCGAGAGAGAGAAATTACACTTTTATGACAACTTTTTCTTCTCAGGTGTTAAACTTTTTGGTCTATAAACTGGAAAGGAAGGCTCAGACATCAATAAATACATTTGTTTTGAGTGTTGGCCTCATTGAGCACTGTCCACCAATTCTGCCTCGGAGGGTCCTCCCCGAAAGCCGCGTGGATGCTCCCACCCCACCGCAGGCAGAACCACGCCAGGAACTCAAAGCCAGGCCAGATGCTCTCCGATAGCTCAAGGGAAGTAAGTGCATCAATGTTCCTCACTGACAGGACAACAAGGCCTTCTGTTACAGAAAAACAACTGAGCTGAACTATGTGAGACGAGACTCTGTCCGCGGGCAGCCATCCTTAGTTAACCTTTTCCTGGAATAAATACAAGTTATTGGTGGCAGCTACAGCGATGATGTTCTCCATGGGGTGCCATGCCGTGTGCAGAATCTTCTTGTTGAAGTCCAGACTGTCAACGGTAATTTCGTCCTTCTTCCTCTTGCCAGTTGTGCACACTTTGCGTGGCTTTAGGATGGCACGAGGCTTGCTGCTCTCCCGGGAGGCCTCCAGGGTGGTGTCCCGGCGCGTGTTCCGCTCAAACGTCCGGAAGAAGTTGTTGTAAGATCCAGTCATGATTGTACTGGTTCGAGGGAAAGGAAGGCACGCCTTGTTAGAAATAAACTCCACCCCTTCCTCTCAGTCAGACCACGCTCATCACCAGGCCATGGCATTCCATTCCTCTCCTCTCCACTGGACATCTGCTCCATTCCTCTGGCACTTGAGCACTGCCTCCAGTGCACCACTTCTTTAAGCAGCTGTTCCCCTGGTGTCCCCTCCTGCCACTGCACCCAGCTCCAGTGACACTTTGTAATCTGCACGTGAGCAAAGCAGGTTTTCCTGGTGCTCCTCTATCCCTTGGCAACAGAAGTCAGACTGGTCTGGGCTGGAAGGGATCTTAAATCCTATTCCATCCCACCCCTGCCATGGCAGGGACACCTTCCCCTGTGCCAGGTGCTCCAGCCCCAGTGTCCAGCCTGGCCTTGGGCACTGCCAGGGATCCAGGGGCAGCCCCAGCTGCTCTGGGCACCCTGTGCCAGCCCTGCCCACCCTGCCAGGGAACAATTCCCAATTCCCAATCTCCCATCCAGCCCTGCCCTCTGGCAGTGGGAGCCATTCACTGTGTCCCAGCACTCCAGGCCCTTGTAAATACCCTCCAGTTTCTTAGCTCCTTCAGGTACTGTGAGGCCACCCTGGAGCTTCTCCTCTCCAGGTGACCAGCCTTTCAGGGAGAGCCTGAATAGCCTCTCCCAGCAGAGCTGCTCCATCCTCTGCTCATTTGGTGCCTCCTCTGGATTCTCTCCAGCAGCTCCAGGTCCCTCCTGTGCTGGGTTCTGCAGCTGGGGGCTCACCTGGGCACAGGGGCAGGAAAAGCCCTGGCCATCCTGTTGGTGTGAACTGCCTACTGCAGGGATTTGTGCCCTCCCATTTATGACGTGGAGCTGTTGGCATGCCCCGCTCAGAGCAGCCAGCCCAGGCTCAGCCCCTGCCCAGGCTGAGCCCCCTGCCCAGGCTCAGCCCCTGCCCAGGCTGAGCCCCCTGCCCAGGCTCACCCCCTGCCCAGGCTCAGCCCCTGCCCAGGCTCAGCCCCTGCCCAGGCTCAGCCCCTGCCCAGGCTCAGCCCCTGCCCAGGCTCAGCCCTGCCCAGGCTCAGCCCCTGCCCAGGCTCAGCCCTGCCCAGGCTCAGCCCTGCCCAGGCTCAGCCCTGCCCGGGCTCAGCCCCTGCCCAGGCTCAGCCCTGCCCGGGCTCAGCCCCTGCCCGGGCTCAGCCCCTGCCCGGGCTCAGCCCTGCCCAGGCTCAGCCCTGCCCAGGCTCAGCCCTGCCCGAGGCCTCACCTGTCGGAGCCGTTCCAGCAGCACTCGAACTTGTCAAAGATGCAGTCGTTCTCGTAGAGGGAGCACAGCTTGCTGCGCAGGTACTCGTGCACCTGGGGACAGCGACACGCGTTGGACACGCACACGGGCACCGCGACACAGGGACAGCTCAGCACACGGGGATGTACCTGGTAGGTCTCCACGGGCCTGTTCTCCATGTTGAGGTCCCACACCTTGACAGACAGGTAGTCTCTTGTCATCATGTATCGCCCGCTGTGGCTGAATTTCACATCAGATATCGAGGATATTATTTCTGAAAAAAATGATCTGCTGCTAGGATCTTCAGGTTCCTCAAAAACTGCAGAGAGAACACACAGTTCCACATGAAACCAATGCCAGCTCTTAAGGTTTCCATGTTTTCAGTACTGGAGAATTTTAAATCAGTCACCAGTTTATTTTTGAATAAATTAGCTGTTAGACACTTCTCAGAAATAATCAGAAATAATCTCTTTTTTAGCGCTGTGGTGCTCTAGGTCATCAGACTGCCCATGCCCTTCTCCAACATTCAACTGGAGCACAGCACCAGCAGACCACAGCTCACAGGTTTTGGGGATCAACCAGAGCAGCAAAGAGCAGTGGTACTGTAACCATCACATCAGCCAGAACAGCAGCAGGTGGGAACAGTGGTGACCTGAACACCAGGAGACCACTGAACCATGTACTTTCCTTTAGCTCTGAACCACAGCTGTACTAAAC